CCACATGAATAATGCTTCAAGCTGCTGCCTTGTGGACTGACTACACACCACCACCTCTGCCTTTCTTTTATCTATAAGCTGAACCAGAAAATATCCAGGAATAAAAACATTAATATCCTTTTAAAATATGGTACCCAGAACCGAATGTAGTCTGTTTAAGATGGTGGCCTAACCAGTCCAAGGTTTTCCTTGTTCCTTCCTTCCTTCCTTCATCAAATCAGTATTTACTGGGCACCATCAGTAGGCACAGTCCTCTGCTCCAGGCTAGGGAGGTGTAAGGACATAGAATGCCTAGTTACCACATTCATGGAGACCTTGGCTGGAGTGTCTGAATATCAAATGAAAAAGATATTTACTAGTTAATAAATATTGACCAAGGCACAACTTTCTAAGAGTTAAGCTCCTACTCTACAGAGAGTTGTATGTTCTGCTTGGATCACTTTGTTATAAGCTTTTCTCGTATCATTAAAAATTTTCCATAACTTCTGGTCAAGATGGCTGCGTAGGTAAACGGGGTATCACGTCCTCCCACAACCACATCAAACTACAGAACAACCATCATGCAAAACTGCCTGAAATCAAGCTGAATGGAAGTCCTACAAGTACGGAATTAAAGAAGCAGTGGCATCGAGACTGGTGGGAGGGGCGGAGGCAGATGGGCTGGTCCCACACCCACATGTGGCAGATAAAAATCAGGAGGACACCTAGGCTGGGAAGGTCCTCCCTGAGGACTGAGGGGTCCCTGTCCCACACCAGGTGCCCCACTTAGGGTTCCAGTGCCAGGAAGAGAAGTCCCCATAACTTCTGGCTGGAAAAAACAGCGGGAACTGAGGTTCAGGGAGGCTGAGGCGGCTGGAGTCCCAGGCAGCTACTCTTGAAGGGCCTGCGCACGGACTTACTTGGACTTGCTCCCTCTAAGCTTGGAGGGGAGGCAGCTCGAGGGGCGCCAGAGACATATGGGGAAGAACTGAGCTGTTTGGCATTGGAGCGAGGGCTGGATAAGGACTTTTCTCTGGGAACAGACGTGCTGTCAGAGTCCTTTGTTTCTTTGATGAGCCCTTCCATGGGGCGGCAGACAGGGAAGGGTTGCTGTATCTGGGACTCCAGCAACCTGGCTCATACTGGTTGCCCCGCCTTGGTGATTCCCTGAGACCCCACCCCACCCAACTTTCAGGCCCACCCAAGCTATTGCCAGTTGGTTAACTAAAGGATTGGCCTGTCCTGGATCCTGCTTCAGGTTTTCTTAAATTCTTTCAAACGAGCAGCATCTGGTCTCAGCTAGCCTCATACCTCTCATTAAGTAATACATAGAAACAAACACTGGGAGGCAGCCAAAATGAAGAGACAAAGAAACAGGTCCCAAATGAAAGAACAGAAAAAAACCCCAGGAAAAGAACTAAGTGAAATGGAGATAAGCAACCTAACAGATGCTGAGTTCAAAATACTACTTATAAGGATGCTCAATAAACTTAGTGAGAACCTCAGTGAACTTAGTGAGGGCCTCAAGAGCATAAAAAAGGACCAGTAAGAAATGAAGGATGCACAGTCAGAAATGAAGGAGGCACTAACTGAAACAAAGAATAATTTACACAGCCCTGGCCAGTTTTGCTCAGCGGTTAGAGCGTAGGCCTGCAGTCCAGAGAGACTCGGGTTCAGTTCCTGCTAAGGGCACGTACCTCGGTTGCAGTTCGTCCCCGGCCCTGGTTGGGTTGTGTGTGTGGCAGCCACTCGATGTGTCCCTTTCGCATCGATGTTTCTCTCTCTCTCTCTCCCTCCCACTCTATCTGAACAAAATATTGAAAAATGTCCTTGGGTGAGGATAAAATAAAAAATAATTTACACAGATTCAATAGTAGAGTAGGTAAAGCCAAGAAGCAAACCATCGATTTGGAATACAAGAAAGCAAAAAATATCCAATCAGAACAGCAAAAAGAAAAAAGAATCCAAAAAAATAAGGATAATGTAAGGAGCCTCTGGGACAACTTCAAGCGTGCCAACATTCGCATCTTGGGGGTGCCAGAAGGAGAAGAGAGAGAACAAGAAATCGAAAACATATTTGAAACAATAATGGCAGAAAACTGCCCTAATTTGGTGAAGGAAACAGACATACAAGTCCAGGAAGCACAGAAAGTCCCAAACAAGATGAACCCTGAGAGGCCCACACCAAGACACATCATCATCAAAATACAAAAGGTTCAAGACAAAGAGAGAATCTTAAAAGCAGCAAGAGAAAAGCAGTTAGTACCTACAAGGGAGTTCCCATAAGACTGTCAGCTGATTTCTCAAAAGAAACTTTGCAGGCCAGAAGGGAGTGGCAAGAAATATTCAGAGTGATGAAAAGCAAAAACCTACAACCAAGATTACCCTATCCTGAAAAGCTATCAGTTAGAATCAATGGCCATATAAAGAGTTTCCTAGACAAGGAAAAGCTAAAGGAGTTCATCACCACCTAACCATTATTATATGAAATGTTGAAGGATCTTCTTGAAGAAAAATATTAAAAAAATATGAACAAACAAAATGGCAATGAATACTTAGCTATCAACAATTGAATCTACAAACAAAATGAACAAGCAGAACAGAAACATTCTCTTAGATACAGAGAACATTTTGTTGGTTGCCAGATGGGAGGGGGAGGGGGGAATGGGTAAAAAAGATGAAGGAATTAAGCAGTACAAATGGGTTGCTAGACTGACAAACCTCAAAGGGAAGGGGAGATGGGGGTGGGAAGAAATAAACCAACGAACTTATATGCATGTATGCATAACCAATGGACACAGACAACAGTGTGGGAAAAGGCAGGAGGGGGGCAGGAGTGGGGAGGAGGTGGTCAATGGGGGAAAAAATGAGGAACATCTGTAATACATTCAACAATAAAGATTTAAAAAATAAAATAAAATAAATTTCCATAAAGACTGGCCAGTGTGGTTCAGTGGACTGAGAGGTCCTGGTTCAATTCCTGGTCAGGGCACATGCCCGGGTTGTAGGCTCGATCCCTAGTAGGGGGCATGTAGGAGGCAGCCAATTGATGTATCTCTCTCACACTGACGTTTCTATCTCTCCTTTCCACTCTCTTTAAAAAATGGCAATAGCAACATATTCTTTTTTAATTCTTCATAAATACCATTTCAATGACTTCTACATTTGGCCATACGGTTTGCCCAACACTTTTTCACAAAAGTGCCCTGGATTGTAAGGCTTGTGTTTACGCCAATATGTGGAGGTAATGAAACACTCATCTGCTACTTGGAAACACAGGGTAAAACTGAGCAAACAAGACATGCCTCCTGGGAAATTTGGGGGCTGCCATGTGTGGACTGAAATCTCTTTATGTTAATGGTTAACAGCAAAGCTCTGAGGCCAGATGACCAGGGTTTGGCTCTACCCCTTACCAACTATATGACCAGCAACTAACCTCTCTGTGCCTTAGTTTTCTCATCTAGAGTTGGAGAATTTTTTTTTAAATCTGTGTTGTAGCATTGTTGTGGGAGAAAACATATATTCTTTGCTCAGTGCCTAGAACATAATAAGTGTTCACACTAAATGTTAAACATCACCAAGCATAATGAGCCCAAATGAAGAGAAGAAACTGAGGATTCAGGGAGAGAAAGATTTACAACCAAAATTCAAATCCAGGCTTTCTGACTCCAAAGTCTCTCCACTACTGCCCTTCATGCTGATGTCAGGCTGGTGCTGAGCCAAGTAAGGGAAAGTCAGGGTCCAAGAGTCCCTGGGGGTGGACCCAGAGGGATGGAAAATAACCACTGCACTGGGGGAAGGTTGCAAGAATGGGTGTAAAAGGTTACATGCACTGGCTCTTGGGTTTGGACAGGAGTCCAGGGTTTAGGAGAGAAAGAAAAGAACCTGGTTGTGTGATGAGTCTCCCGTCATGAGATAGGGCAATGAAGGAGGGTATTGGGAGTAAGAGTTTAGATGTGTGAAGGAGCAGGTCAGGTGGAAATGGAGCCCCTTGGAATGCTGCCTACTACAGAATTTTATTTTACTACCTGAATTATGGGCCTTGGATTTGGTATTGGGGGACAGAATCATGAAAACAGTGAGGATAAGAGATTAACTTAGCCCTGTCCCTTTCTCTTTTGTAAAGATCTCCATGACTTTTTCGTGCCCATCCCTCTCTCTAGTACTCTCCAGTTGATTAGTTCCTATTCATCGTTTAGGACCCCATTTTCTTTTAGTTTTCTCCTTTCCTGGGTGGACTGAGCCAACCATTCATTCCTCCAGTAAAGGCCTTCTCATGTTTTATTGTACTAAGTGATTTCTGACTTTACCTGCTACATTGTGCACTCAAGAAATACCTGCCCTTCTTAGAAAAAAGTGTTATCCCACCGACAAAAGGAGAAACTGAAGCTCAGAAAGTATCAGTTGCTGACTTCCTGTGTAGTGGGACAGACCTGGAGCTGAACCTCCTGAGTCCAAGGTCAGTGCTCTGTCCACTCACACATTTCCCTTGGATCACAACTGAGTAGTGACTGGGACAAGTGCTGGGGAAACCTTCCGAGGCCAGCAGGCAGGCAGTTTTGGAGACAACAGCAAAGGATTCTAATTCCAGCTCAAACTCTCAATGGTTGTTTTATGTTGGTCACTTTACCTGTCTGTGACTAGTTTCTATCTCTGAAATGGAAATAATAATAAAATAACCACACCTACTGAACATTGGTGATCAGGACTGTGATTCCTAGAACTCGGGGTTCATGTTTGTTTTGCCTGCTGCTGTGTCCTGTCACCTAGTATGCTGGCTGGCCCATGGAGGTGCTCGTTAAATGTTCATCAGGTTACTGACTAGTGAGATTTTGAAATGTACACTGTCAGCTGAAAAAGGTTTTCTTCCTGTTCCCCAAGGTAGATCCTCCACAGTTAATCAATTCTGGTGGCTAAGCTCTGAGCTGTGCCCTCCCCCTTCCCCTCCCCACAGGTGGGTGGGACAGCACTTCCAGACCGGCCTGAGGTGGTCAGACACAGTCAGCAATCCACAGCGCGCCATGGGTGTCTCTGCGCTGAGTGCCTCGGGACTCCTGGGCAGAAGCTCTGGGCTCCTGCAGGTGGTCTCCCTGCTCTGTCTGGTCCTGCTGCTGCTCAAGGCAGCCCAGCTCTACCTGCACAGGCAGTGGCTGCTCAGAGCTCTCCAGCAGTTCCCGTCCCCTCCTTCCCACTGGCTGTTGGGGCATAGCCGCGAGGTAAAGGGGAGCAGGACGGGAAAAGGGAGGGCAAGGAGGGCAGGGCTCTCAGAGCATGGTCACGTCAGCAGTCTGCGGGACAAAGCCTTGTTGTGAGAAGCATGTGGCTGCGGGGCAGAGCCCTCAGGTTGAGGCTCCTCATCCCAAGTGCTGGTGCTCTCCGCCCGTCAGATCCTCCTTCCTTAGGCAGATCTGTGGGCTATTTGGGATGCCCGGCACTTTGAGGACAATGGCTGTTCCTTCCCGAGTCTCTCTGCTCCAGGCTCACAGAACAGAACTTCTAGATGCTTCCCTGCCCATGTCCGCTCAGTTCCGCCCTCTCTGCCTGGCTCTGAGCTTGCCTGGGAACACAGACATCAGTCTCATGGATCCCTGCCTGTGAGGATGATAGACAGGAATTTAAAGAAGGTATCAGGTTACAGGAAGAGAGGCTCACCCACAAGGGGTCTGGGGGTTTTCTCAGCTGTGGGGGACCAACCAGCTTGGTTGGTCTGAGACTGTGGAATATTTCAGAGTGGTGATTACAGTGCCAAGATACTGGCACATATGAGCAAGTAGTCTTCCAGGATGGTCCCAGGTAAGCAGTGCTCGCATTTGAGTTGCTCCATTAAAGAGAATCTCTTTACCTGCCAGGTCTCATTCGCTAATCCCCTGCCCTGTGAGCTCCTTGGGGCTGAGGATATTATCTCCTTTCTGTCTTCGTACCCAGCACAGAGCCTGACAGAGTAATGCCTGCCTCAGGGGTGTGGACTGACAGAGAGAGGAGCAGCCTGCAGGTTGGGTGTCAGACAGTGCTACCGAGCCCGCTCTGTTAGCATGAGTCCCTGAGGGGAAGGGCGCACAGCAAGGTGAGGGGCTGCATGGAGAGGGGCTCACCCATCTTTCGTGGGCTGAACAAAGTTGGATATTGCAGAAACCCGAGGCTTCTTTTTCAGAGAAGGAGGCCAAGCGATTATCAGCAGAGTGTGGCCCAAGATGGGAACTGTTTATATCAGCCACAGAAAGACAGCCAAAGCCCGTTTGTTCATACAAATTGTGGTTGACTTCTAATGACTTCTGGATTATTTGTTAATTTGGAGAAATTGTGACTTTTATTGATGTAATCGTCACTTTCTGAGCTAAGATTTGACAGAAGGAACCACTAAAAATTCCTCCAGTGACTTTTCCCTACACTGATGGCATAGATGATACCTAGACTCAGTAAGAGGGTAATGCTATTTACATAACTATATTACTCATGGTGTGACTCATCTCTCAACTTCGACTGGCCTGAGAGATACTGCAGCCCCCTACTTTTATAATACTGCCTGCGATTTTCATGTATTCAAAATCTCTGCTATTGGCTAACTGGGAATTGAATTCCACATGTTGAATCCAGATTGAAGCTAATCTTTCCAGCCAGATGACAAGTGACAAGGTGGCCAGTTAAGTATATGGGCTCTGTCCCCGAGCTAGCTGGGTTCATATCCCAGCTCTGCCATGACTCCCAGCCCACTGTACAACTCGATCTCTTCATCTGTCAGTTGGGGAAGACGATGATATTTACAGCACTCAAGTGAGTTATTATAATGTTAGAACTGTGCCTGGCACAGAACAAGGGCCATCGTTGCACTTACCCTAATTCATATGAATTTAGAATACTATTAATGCCTACGAAGGACAAGGATGTTGAAGGTACAAACTCACTGCATTAAGTTGGGATGAAATCTGACAGGGACTATGGAAAGGAGAACTAACATCTTTGGAATTCAAATAACCCAAACTGCCCCATTCCCCACCCTTGCCCTGGACCTCCCTCTGAAACAGGCCTCCTGCCATGCCAGCAGAGCCACATCTGATGATGGCCTGGTGGCCACATTCTTACCTGTCCACCTACTGTCTTTGTGTCTCCCTTTGAGGAAATTGCTTTGTGGCCACAGTTCCCAGGGTCAACCAGGTGAGGACAACTCCAGGGCATCACTGCCTGAATGGAGTGGCCAAAGCCTGGAGGCCAGGTGGGCACGGGGTATTTGCCTACACAGGATTGTCACCTCTGCCACTGTGGGCACCATCCCCTCTACAAGAGTTCCTACTGGCTCTGGCCACACCTGCTCAGGGACAGCTGGCAGCCCCAACTGGTGACTGGAGGACTGACAGACCAGTGGACACCAAAATGGCCTAGAGAGAACAATAGAAATGCAGAACACAGTTTAGCTTCTTTGGTTCCCCAAAGGAAACTAATGGCAGTGCCCAGGAGTAGGATTTTCAGGAAGCTGACAGGCATGGGCTCCAAAAATCAGGAAGAAGGCATGATACTGTGCTGAAACAGGGTCTCCCAGGCCCACGCTGTGCCAGTAGGAGGGGATCTGAGAGGACCAGGTAACAGAGCTGGGGTGGTATGAGGCTCCCGCTGGTCAGTCCCCACCTTTAAAGAAGAAGGGCAGCCCTAATAATGCACATGGCCTGGAAGTATAAAGGTTAAATAGTTCGAACAGGACACTGCTCAGGTCACAGCAGGTTCATCTGCCTACCCGCACTCCCACTTGAACATAAGCTCTGTGATGATTTTGTAGTTCATTGCTGCATCTCCAGAAACTATGATGGCAATGGACCAAAGCGCGTGTTCAATACATAGTTATCAAATAAGTAAATGAGTAAATCCATCTACTCATCTCTTCGTTTATGTATTTGCTCATTCACGTAGTGGAAACATTTTGGGATGTCTTCCCTGCTCACCTACTCTGAGACCTCTTCCCTCACATGGATGGGCCCCCGAATGCCCTATTCAACCCCAGCCTCAGTTGCCTGTAGCAGGTGAACATCTTGGCCATATTACAACCAGGTTCTCAAACAGGATTCACAGTGCCACTCAGACACGACACGGGGTAGAATGGTAGCAGTCTGGAATGGGCACAGGGCTCTTCTCCATCACGTGGGCCCAGGTTTATGAGGACAAGGACAGTTGTCTATTTATCTGAGGATTCACAGTGCCACTCAGACACGACACGTGGTAGAATGGTAGCAGTCTGGAATGGGCACAGGGCTCTTCTCCATCACGTGGGCCCAGGTTTATGAGGACAAGGACAGTTGTCTATTTATCTGAGGATTCACAGTGCCACTCAGACACGACATGTGGTAGAATGGTAGCAGTCTGGAATGGGCACAGGGCTCTTCTCCTTCACGTGGACCCACGTTTATGAGGACAAGGACAGTTGTCTATTTACTTGTGAGCACATTGCCAGGTTCTAGAAAACTGTCAGGGAGCCCCAGTAAACATTTGCTAAGATAATGAATGCATATACGTACAGACGAATGAGAGACTCAGTCCTGGCTGCTCTCCAGGGCCTGGATCTGCCCCTTCCTCACCCTCCTGCCTCCTGCCCTTGGGTTCTGTGATAACACCCCAGGTCCTCAGCCTTCTCCTGTCCCTTTTCTCTTTCTTTTTTTTTTTTTTATCCTCACCCGAGGACACTTTTTTTTGCATTTATCTTCAGATAGTGTGGGAGGGAGAGAAGGAGGAAATGAGAGAGAGAAACATCGACATGAAAGGGACACATCAAGTGGTTGCCACCCACACGACCCAAACCGGGGCTGCAGACAAACTGCAACCGAGGTACGTGCCCTTAGTGGGAACTGAACTCAGGTCTCTCCAGCCCGCAGGCCGACACTCTAACCGCTGAGCCAAACCGGCCAGGGCCCTTTTCTCTTTCTTACATTACTTTAAGATTATATCTATCACTTGAAACAAGAATTTTAATCATAACTCACTCATTTACTCGCCTAATACATGCTCATTCATTCCTTGTCACACTTCTTTATTCTTAAAAAAAAAAAAAAAGGCATAATTCCTACTAGCCATGCTCTATGCAGGCTCTAAGAACATGGAGATTATAGGTATTAAAGGTAAATTTGCCAACATCAGGCCCAGCGATTAGAACACTGAGTTGAAATGTGATAGCAGAGACTCCCAGGGAGCTGTGGGAACTCTGGGGTCAGCAGGCTTGGATGTAAATGCGGCTCACCTGGGCATATCCTTGAACAGTTTCCTCATTCTTCAGTGAAACAGGATAAACTACAATCCATCCCCACTCATAGGTATACCTTGAGCATTGCACAATTGTACTACTTCGTAAAGGCTGCCTAACAAACTGGTGGGTAAACAAACAGATCGTCTCAGTTCTGGAGACTAGGAGTCCAAAGTCAAGATGTTGGGAGGGTTGGCTCCTTCTGAAGGCTCTGAAGGAACCATCTGCTCCAGGCCTCTCTCCTTGGCTAATAAACCACGATCTTCTCCATATGTCTCTTCATACCATCTTCTCATTGAAGGATTATTTCTGTGTCCGAACTTCCCCCTTTTTATACAGACAGTTATATTGAATTAGGGCCCACTCTAATGACCTCAGTTTCTTTAAATATGTTGGTACTGATTTTTTTTAGGGAGAGAGAGAGAGAAACATCCATGTGAGAGAGAAACATCCATTGGCTGCCTTCTGCATGGCCCCTACTGGGGATCGAGCCTGCAAGCCGGGCATGTGCCCTGACTGGGAATCAAACCAGGACCTCTCCGTTCATGGGATGACGCTCAATCCACTGAGCCACACTCACCAGGCTAATGACCTCATTTTTTTTTTTTTTATCCTCACCCGAGGACATTTTTTCATTTTTTGTTCAGATAGAGTGGGAGAGAAAGAGAAGAGAGAGAGAGAGAAACATCGACGAGAAAGGGACACATGGAGTGGCTGCCTCCTGCACAACCCAACCAGGGCCGGGGACAAATCACAACCAAGGTACATGCCCTTAGCGGGAACCAAACCCAGGTCTCTCTGGACCGCAGGCCGATGCTCTAACCGCTGAGCCAAACTGACCAGGGCTAATGATCTCAATTTTAAGTTTTATCTTTATTGTTAGCCCTGGACGGTTTGGCTCGGCAGTTAGAGTTTCGACCGCGGACCAGAGAGACCCGGGTTCGGTTCCCGCTAAGAGCACATACCTCAGTTGCAGTTCGTCCCTGGCCCCAGTTGGGGTTGTGTGGGTGGCAACCAGTCAACGTGTCTCTCTCACATCAATGTTTCTCTCTCTCTCTCTCTTCCTCCCTCTCTATCTGAAGATAAATTCAAAAATGTCCTTGGATTAGGATTAAAAAAAAGTATTACAGATGTTCCTCCCTTTTTCCCCCGTTAAGCCCCTCCTCCCCACCACCACTCCCCTCCTGCCTTCCCCACACTATTATCTGTGTCCATTGGTTATGGATATAAGTTCTTTGGTTTATCTCTTCCTGCATCACCCCCTTTCCCTTGAGGTTTGTCAGTCCAACAACCAAATTGTACTTCTTCTTTTTTTTTTTAATCCTCACCGGAGGACATTTTTCCATTTTTTGTTCAGACAGAATGGGAGGGAGAGAGAGGAAGAGAGAGAGAGAAACATCAACGTGAAAGGGACACATCAAGTGGTTGCCACCCACACGACCAACCAGGGCCAGGGACAAACTGCAACCGAGGTACGTACTCTTAGCAGGAACTGAACCCAGGTCTCTCTGGACCACAGGCTGATGCTCTAACTGCTGAGCCAAACCGTCCAGGGCCAAATTGTACTTCTTAATCTCATCACCGTTTTCACCCAACCCCCTCCCATTTGGAAACCATCAAAAAGTTCTCTGCATCTATGAGTCTGTTTCTGTTCTGCTTGTTTATTTGGTTTGTAAATTCAATTGTTGATAAATATGCATTTATTTCCATTTTATTGTTCACATTTCTGTACTTCTTCAAGACCCTTCAATATTTCATATAATACTGGTTTGGTGATGATGAACTCCTTTAGCTTTTTCTTGTCTAGGAAACTCTTTATATATCCATCGATCCTAAATGATAGCTTTGCAGGATAGAGTAATCTTGGTTGTAGGTCATTGCTTTTCATCACTTTGAATATTTCTTGCCACTCCCTTCTGGCCTGCAAAATTTCTTTTTAAGAAATCAGCTGACAGTCTATGGGAGCTCCCCTGTAGATAACTATCTGCTTTTCTCTTGCTGCTTTTAAGATTTTCTCTTTGTCTTTAGCCTTTTGCGTTTTAATTATGATGTGTGTGGATGTGGGCCTCTTTGGGTTCATCTTGTTTGGAACTTTCTGTGCTTCTTGGACTTGTATGTCTGTTTCTTTCACCAAGTTAGGGAAGTTTTCTGTCATTATTGTTTCAAATAGGTTTTCAATTTCTTGCTCTCTCTCCTCCTTCCAGCACCCCCATGATGCAAAGTTGGCACGCTTGAAGTTGTCCCAGAGGCTCCTTACACTACCCTCATTATTTTGGATTCTTTTTGTTCTGATTGTGTGTTTTTTGCTTCCTTATATTCCAAATTGATGGTTTGATTCTTGGCTTCACCTACTCTACTGTTGATACCCTGTAAATTATTTTTATTTATTTATTTATTTATTTTATCCTCACCTGAGGACATTTTTCCATTCTTTATTCAGACAGAGCAGGAGGGAGAGAGAGGAAGAGAGAGAGAGAGAAACATTGACGTGAAAGGGATACATTGAGTGGCTGCCACCCAAATGACCCAACCACGGCTGGGGACAAACTGCCACCGTAGTACATGCCCTTAGCGGGAACCAAACCCGGGTCTCTCTGGACCGCAGGCAGACGCTCTAACCGCTGAGCCAAACCGGCCAGGGCTATTTTTTATTTCAATTAGTTCATCTTTCATTTCTTACTTTCTTATGCTCTTGAGGTCCTCACTAAGTTCCTTGAGCATCCTTATAACCAGTGTTTTGAACTCTGCATCTGTTGAATTGCTTATTTCTATTTTCTTTAGTTCTTTTCCTGGAGTTTTGTTCTGCTCTTTCATTTGGGACATGTTTTTCCTCATCTTGGCTGCCTCCCTGTGTTTGTTTCTATGTATTAGGTAGAGTTGCCATGTCTCTCAGGCTTTGTAGAAAAGCCTGTTATACTATGTATCCTGTAGGGTCCAGAGGCACAGCCTCCCTGATCACCTCAACTGGGCACATGAGGTGCACCACCCCGTGTGGATTGTATATGCTTTAGTTTCAATTGAGTCTTGATTGCTGTTGCCATATAATGGGAGACATTTACTCAGGTTGATCAGCTGCAAGGACAGGCTGTGCCCACTGACCACTAACCTCTGACCACCTTGGAGGATCAGCTGTACAGGGGCCCACCACACAGAGCAAGACTTACTTTAGCAGGGCTCTGGTACCCACTGAGTCCACTGCTTGTGGAGGTGGTTGGGTCAGTTGTGGTTCTATGCTGCGGTCTGAAGATCTTCACTGGGTGTGCTGGCCCTGGGCCTCCCAGGAGGCATAGGCCAAGGTCAGCCACTGCCTGTGTTCTACCTGGGGCCACCAGGCATACGCTACAAAGAGATCTGCAGGTGGCTGCTTCTTGTGCTGGGTTTGGAGGTGCCCAGGAGAGGCCCAGCTGTGAACCACGGCCAGCTGTTGCTAGTGCCAGGCCTGGGGCCACTTAACAAAAGGTATGGTGCTCACTGAGGCCAGATGCTGCTTGTTTGAGAGATTTTAGGAAAATCTGAAGCATGAAGCAAGACAGGCCATTGCTATGGTAAAGCCACTGGAAACAGCTTGGGTGGGCCCAAAAATTGGGTGAGGCAGGGCCGCAGGGAATCACCAGGGCAGAGCAAACAGTATGAGCCAGGTTGCTGGGGTCCCACATATGGCACCTGTCTGCTGTCTGCTGGCCCCCTGGGGGAAGGGCTCACCAAAGGAACAATGGCCTCTGCCAGCAAGTCTGTCTGGGAGAAAGCTGCCCCTCCAGCTCTGCCCTGATGGCAAGCAATGCAGTTCTTCCCTATATGTCTCTGGCACCTTTCAAGCTGCCTCCCCCGTGCTGGAGCCCAGGGGGAACGAGTCCAAGTAAGTCCATGTAAGGCCCTGGCCGGTTTGCCTCAGCGGTTAGAGCGTCGGCCTGCGGTCCAGAGAGACCTGGGTTCGGTTCCCGCTAAGGGCACGTACCTCAGTTGCAGTTTGTCCCCAGCCCTGGTTGGTCGTGCAGGTGGCAGCCATTCGATGTGTCCTTTTCACCTCTCTCTCTCTCTCTCTCTCTCTCTCTCTCTCTCTCTCTCTCTCCCACTCTATCTGAATAAAAAATGGATAAAAATGTCCTTGGGTGAGGATAACAAAAGAAAAAGAGGAACTGCCTGGGACTCTAGAAGCCTCAGCCTCCCTCAGCCTCAGTTCCCGCTGGTTTTTAACTTCTCTTCCTGGCACTGGAATCCTGAGCTGGGGGCCTGGTGTGGAACTGGGACCCTTGCTCCTCAGGGAGGACCTTTGCAGCCGAGGTGTCCCTCCTGATTTTTATCTACTACACGTGGGTGTGGAACCAGCCTGTCCGCACCTCCGCCCCTCCTGCCAGTCTCCATGCGGCTCCCTGTTTAATGTCATAGTGGTAGGACTTCCATTCAGGTCAATTTCAGGTGGTTCTGAATGATGGTTGTTCTGTAGTTTAGGTGTAATTTTGACGTGGTTGTGAAAGGAGGCGATACCGCATTTACCTACACTGCCATCTTGACCGGAAGTCCTCTAATGGCCTCGTTTTAACCTAATTACTCCTATACAGACCCTAGCTTCAAATAAAGTCACATTCTGAGGTATAGGGAATGAAGTCTTCAACATATGAACTTGAAAGGGACACAATTCAACCAATAACTCGAATATAAGTCTGTGAAAAAGGCTGTACACCACTCAGACCATCACTGAACATTTACAAAACACGTATTATGTGTAAGATTCTAAAGGCAGTTCTGAGTGGGGGCCCAACCAGAAGCCAGAATCTGACCTTAGACCAAGTCTTGATAAAGGGAGGAATGCAGATCGGAGGCTGGCCCGTCAGAAACAGTTCCGAGCTCCTGATCACAGCGGATAGATCCAGAACTATCTCCCTGTGGCCGTCCTACCCTTCACCACCACTCCAAGTTCTAGGCCTAAAGAGAAAGTTGTTTGTTTGTTTTTGTTTTTTTTTTTTGTCTTTTCCTTGCTTACAGTTCCAAAAAGACGAAGAGCTACTACAGATTCAGAAATGGGTAGAGAAATTCCCGTCTGCCTGTCCTCGCTGGCTATGGGGGAGCAGGGCCACCCTCGTGGTTTATGACCCTGACTACATGAAAGTAATCCTGGGAAGGTCAGGTGAGAGCAAAACGTATGTTGCCACTGGAGCAGCTCTTCCCTCTGGTACATATCCTTGGTTTGTGGAATTCCAGCATAGGCTTGTGGTTCTGTTATCATTACCTGACACCTCTACCAGTCACCCTCCCAGCCCACATGCAGCTTAAGGCCAACAATATCTGCTTAAACTGAATGCCTACGCAGCTGTATGGGGCCAATTTTTCTCTCCTTTTCTTTTCTTTAATTCTCATTCTCATTCTCCCCCCCCCCTTTTTTAACCAGATTGAAATGATCTATTATGCAAATTTCCCCCAGATCTGAAAGATAATTTTTTATCCACCTTGAGTTGAGTTTGGCATTTCTAATTGTTACTTATTTTGGGTCATGGGATGACTAAGCCCCACAAATTGTAGGAAGACACAGACTTCTGTGTTCCTCTGGCACTGAGGATAGAGCCTATATTTCTGGCTGATTCACTATCCTAGTCCTGTGAGTGTTCTGCTGTGGGGACACTGAGTCTGCCTTGCTGAGTCCACAGTGACTGTTAGGACAGAGACACGTGGGGATGGGAGGCATGTGGGAGGTTGCCTTAGACAAATGCCAGCTGACAATGGCCAGGAAGGGATGGCAGCCCAGTGTCTGCACCACAGCTGCCTCCTGGAACTGCTTGCTTTGTTTGGTTTTCTCCGACTTCCTGTAATGCCCTTCCTTACCTTTCAGACCCAAAGTCTCAGGATGCGTACAGATTACTGGCTCCCTGGATTGGTAAGTATGCGTAACCAGGACTGCTGCCCAGCTGCCAGGTACATTTACCAAGAGCTATCTCTTCGGCTCATAGAGAACAACAGGGAACCAGCACCATATCACCACCCTCATCTCTGAATTAAGCCTCATTTATCGTCTCGTAAAACCTTCACCCGTGCCAGGTGGTGAAAGACCCCCTGAAACTCAGCATCTCTCCGTCCCTTCTCAGTGCTCTCCAATGTTTTCGGGGTGACATTTATTTACATTCTTCTATGACCTGCCCCACTATTGTATTTTAGCCTGTATCTCACAGCTATCATAATGACATCCTGTGTACCTGTCATGTTGAGAAATTCACATCCCTGAAATTCACTGGCCTTTCCTGCCTTTGCCAATAATGTGCCTTTTTCTGACACCTTTGGTTCCTTCCAAATTGTCCCAAGTCATCCTTCTAATTCTATCTCCCCTGCCCCCACACACCTATCTGTGGTCCAGGGTATGGTTTGCTCCTGCTGGACGGGCAGACATGGCTGCAGCACAGGCGGATGCTGACCCCAGCCTTCCACTATGACATCCTGAAGCCCTATGTGGGGCTCATGGCTGACTCTGTCCGAGTGATGCTGGTAAGTCCATCCCTCTCTCACCTGCACACACACACTCATAGCACAACTCACATAGTCCACTAGGACACGTGGACACCCATCACACATAGCCAACCGAAATAAAGTGCTCGGATCTTACTGTGTGTCAGAACTTCCCCAAAGTGGAAAGGACAGGAAGTACCTGGAAACCAGCTCGGGTCCACACTACTTTGGTCATTGCCAAGGGAAAGCAGGGCCATGGTGGAAACAGGTTCTGCTCTCCTCCCTTCTCCATGTCTAGAGCAATGGTCATTCCCCTGGACAACGGGACAAATTGCCAATAGCTGGCATGGGCAGTGCAGCTTTAATGGCAGGTGAACATTTCAGAATATCACTTAAGTGCACTCTGGCCAGAGCCTAGGACTTTGGTTTGAAACTGAGGAACTCCACAAAAGGACATGGAAACTACCTCTGCACTCACAGAGCCAACTTCCACCATCAGGTTTCTGATCTCACCAGCTATGCTCCGCTAACATTTGATGAAGGAAAGGAACTAGAGTCCCTGATGTCCCTTCCTTAGGAGCCTTAGTACTGGTCACTTAGGTTTCCTCTTGTCTGGGCACATTTGCTACCTAGAGTTGGAGTGCACCTGTCCCTCAGGTCTGGCTCAACTCCAGGACAGAGGAGATTCCTTCTTTGTCCACTGAGTAACAATGTTTTCTGGTCTGCCAAAAGGTAGTTACCACCATAACGTATTCCTAAAATTCAAAACGAATTCAGACTATCCTGAGAGAATGTATTTAATTATATAATCAAAGATTCTGGGAATACAGTTCTCACTTCACTAACATTTGCTTTATAGTCTTAATATGCTTTAATATGTCTGTTCTGAAGAGTGGGAGAAACAGAGAGAGAGCTTAGCTCTCTCAGCAGAGGTCCTCTGAGGGAGGGAGACGAATGTCCCTCCTCCCACCACAGGACAAATGGGAGGAGCTCATCAGCCAGGACTCCCACCTGGAGATCTTTGAACACGTCTCCTTGATGACCCTGGACACCATCATGAAGTGCGCCTTCAGCCAGAAGGGCAGTGTCCAGACAGACAGGTCAGTGATAATGCTTCGGCTGCAGGGTTTCTGTTTTTACCAACTGATACGGACTTACTGGAGGGGCAGTGCAGACAGCTTGGATGTTCACCAGCACAAAAAGCAAGAGTCTGTCGAGAGGTCCTGACCATAGACAAATTCCAGTCTAGACCAAACCTTGACTCAGCCACAGATCCCTGATCCCTGGCACAGGGGGAAGCCTGGCTGCTCCTATTACCCATAAAGGACTGAGGGTCTCAACCATTTACGAAAACTTCTGCCTAAAGCCCCGCTTCACCTCCAGGCAACATTCCTCCCAACTCCCTAGTCTGCTCTGTGTCTTCGCCTTTTAGGAACTCCCAGTCCTACATCCAGGCCATTGCAGATATAAAAGAGCTCTTCTATTCTCGATTGAGAAATTTCTTCTACCAGAATGACATCATCTACAGGCTGACTCCTGAGGGCCGCAGGAGCCACCGGGCCTGCCAGTTTGCCCATCAACACACAGGTTGGGCTTCATCTCCTGGGCTGCTCCCCTCCATCAGGCACATCTCAAAGAGACTAGCCCTGACCCTTAGGGAGAGTCTGACCCCCTGCTGCCTTTCGGGAGGTGGGACACCCAAAGTGGATACTTTTCTTGTGCAGAACTTGAGAACCGAGATGTTAAGGTGCCAGTGACTGTTGGAGGTGGGGGGAGAGTTTACTCATGTCACCACATTGGTGATGTCACCCCCTCCAAGCAGCATTCAAGCAGAGCCTACTCCATGGGTGTGCTGTTGAGGGGAGCCCTGACTTGCAATCAGATGTTGCTAGAGCTCTCACCCGTGATGTACACACCCACTCCCACACCCATCCTGATTCACTGGCACCCTGATTGGAGCAGGGTGGGGAGCACTGTGGGTTGCTGTTTCTGGGCACCCAGAGCTCTCAGCTCTGCCTGGGAACCACTGTTCTGGGACAGACCAAGTGATCAAGAAGAGGAAGGTGCATCTGCTAGAGGATGAAGAGCTGGAGAAGGTCAAGAGAAAAAGGCACTTGGATTTTCTGGACATCCTCCTCTTTGCCAGAGTGAGTGTGTAGGAGGGCCTGCAGCTTTGCCCAGAAATACATAGGGTGGGGTGAACATGAACTCTTGCCTGCCTTCCCCAGATGAAGAATGGGAGCAGCTTGCCTGACAAGGACGTCCGTGCGGAAGTGGACACGTTCATGTTCGAGGGCCATGACACCACAGCCAGCGGCATCTCCTGGATCCTCTATACTCTGGCCGCACACCCCGAGCATCAGCAGAGGTGCCGCGAGGAGATTCAGGGTCTCCTGGGGCATGGCGACTCCATAACCTGGTGAGTGCTCAAGAAATGAAAGAGCCCTGCCCACTCAGCTAGACAAGAAGCCCTGGTCTGCCTGGGCCTTGCCTGCCCTCAGGTTGGGCTTCATTCATTTCAGGGGTCACCTGGATCAGATGCCCTACACTACCATGTGCATCAAGGAGGCACTACGACTCTATCCGCCTGTACCAGGTATAGGCAGAGACCTCAGCAAGCCCGTCACCTTCCCTGATGGACGCTGCCTGCCCAGAGGTCTGAACTGCACCACACCCACCAACCTAGGCACTCTGCAAGAACCCATGGCCGATCAGGTCCACGTATCCTAGAGCAGTTCTGAGCCTCTCCGGTCTTGTTTCTTCATCATTAAGTGGATGCCTTCTTTGTAGTTTGGATAAAGAATTTAAAATACCTGACACATAGTTGGACCACAGTGAAAGTTCAATATAGTTTCCTTATCAACTCAGAGAGAATAAATCATTTCAGTACATTTACCTAATAAGGGTCCATCTCAATTCTGGCATCTCACATGAATAGAATCCTAAGCTTCTATCTTTCTCCAGGACTAGCATCCCATCACATTTAGAATCCATGGTTTTATGATATTACAGTATTCCATTTGATGGCACCGATGTCCTATGATTCTAATACTCAAATGCCCCCATCCCAACTCCAGATACAGGACTCTTGGAGCAATCCTGTCTGCATAGTCATGTCTATTTGAATGTCCTCCATATTTAATAAAATATGTACATAACTTCTTCATGACAAATGCAAAGAACTGTGTACATTTTAGTTCATATAATACTGACTCAGGTCATGGAGTCTTCTTCACAAGAAGATGTTGGACTCTGGATATGGCTTCTGGAATTTTACTCTGAAATTCTAATTCTCTGACATGTGAGGGTTGCAGAGACTATCAGACAGGAGTAAGAGTAGCTGTGGTTTCTTTCTTATGGGGTGTAGGCAAATGAAGGAGATCAGGAAACCCACTGTGATGGGTCCGATAGTGCAGTCTCTGAGGAGTCCTCAGGTTGATGGTAGAGAGAAGCTGATGACCTGATTTGAGAGCCCTGTCATGGTTAGATGTCACCCGTTGGCTAGCCTTTGATCTGAATGTCAACACTGCCACGTTCTAGTGGGTGATTGTAGGCATGTTGCTCAGCCCCTCTGAAGATCAGGGGCCTCATCTGAACAAAGGAGATATGAGTGCCCTCCTTGGAAGGTTGTGGTGAGGATTGAACGAGTTAATGTATATCTCCTAGGGCTCATGAATGGCACTTGATAAATGCGAATTTTACCTTGAGTTACTCCAAAAAGGAAATCTTCAATTCTTTCTTGCTTCTCAGTCCTGGGTCATGGCTATCCAGTGCTCATGTGTGCACATGTGCTTGGCTGTGTCCACCCCACCTCTACTGCAATAGGATAATTCCACTGGGTGTGACTCTCATTGTGGCTCCCAAGGTTTTTGTGCATGCACCTGCCCCCTGCTGGCATGGTTATGATCAGTCTTCTCTCCTCTCCCCACCCTACAGGAATCCAAGTCTCACTTTCTATTTATGGCCTTCACCACAATCCGAAGGTGTGGCCCAACCCAGAGGTATGATGGCTGTGGGAGGGAGGATGAGTCGATCTCTGTAGTAGACCAACACCTCCTCTTGCTTCTACTTCCGGGAGTCCTATGCCCTCATGGATTGGAAGGAGAGGCTTGACCCTACCCGTCATGACCCTGGTGCTATCTCTGCAGGTGTTTGACCCTTCCCGTTTTGCACCGGATTCTAATACACACAGCCATGCTTTCCTGCCCTTCTCAGGAGGATCAAGGTGAGGCATTCAGTACTTGGGGGGCGTGTGTCACCAGGTACCTACCCAGATGATTGTCACCTCCTACACTTATAATTGGTGTCTGCAGTTATACCCTTGTATGTTGGTGTGTTGGGAAGGAGGCATTTATCTATATGTACAAAAGAGAGGTGACATTTCAAGGCATGACACAGACTTTGCCCACTGACTTTTCTCTCAAAAGCTGTTGATTGTCCTCATTGTTATGCTTTAAGCCAATGTTGGACTATGTAGACAGTGGGACAATGGTATATAAATCACACTTCATATAAAGAATCTTGCCTACTGAAAAGTTGTCATGGTTCTGTGAATGTTAATGTGAAGTCAAACTTCTGTTGGAATAGGCTGTAAAAACAGAGGCACCTATTGGTCTGGAACTCTTCAAACGGCTACTTTCCCAATGGCCATCCACAATTCAGAGTTCAGTTCAATTCTAAAGTTCAGTGATTCTGAACTTTAGAGGTGCTTTTATTCTGGTGCTTTTCTTACCTCAGGAATACGATTTCTCAGAGTTAAAATGGTTCATACAAATTAAACTTCAGATTGCTTTTCTCAGTCATCAGTAATATTTTTTAAAATTTTTTCTTTATTGACTTTAGAGAGAGAGCAAAGGAGAGGGAGAGAAATAAAGACATCGATGAGAGAGAACATCGATTGGCCGCCTCCTGCGTGTCTCCCACTGGGGGTTTGGTCCACAATCTGGGCATGTGACCTGACCGGGAACCAAACCAGTGACCTCTTGGTGCATTGATCGGCATTCAACCACTGAGCCAGACCAGACCAGTCATCAGTAATATTTAAAGGAGGTTTTTCCTCTTCCCACAGGGCAGTCCAACCACTGCCTTTTCTACTTCCCTGATCCGCCACTCACTGAATCTGTGATATTTGCAGATGATTGGATTTCCAGCCACTTCCCTTTCCTACTCTTCAAGCCCTAACCACAAGCGGTGATGTAGCCATTTGATGAGTTTCACACCAGTGTATGCCTCTCTATTTCTGCAGTCTATCCCTACAAAAGCTTGAATGTCAACATTCACATAAGCATGACCACCTTTCCAGTTTGCGAGACTTTATGTAAGGTGGGATTTATAAACCGCAGTCTCACAGTCTACACAGCCCAACAAAGTAAAAAATGACGACAATCACTGCTGTGAGAAAGAACCCACTGCTTTCTGTTGACATGTAGCATTAGAAAGGCTCCGAGTGTGTAAAACAGAAAGCGTACTTGGAATAGCTGGTGAGCTGGGTGAATACACTCCAGAGCAGCTGCTGTTTGAAAATGTGCGAAGGCTACAGAGATCCTCCTGTGAAATAGGAACTTCCATTAACTGTGCACTTGGTTAATAGAAACAAGCTTTTTCTGAATGCATAAGTCTGCGGATTCTTCAAATGGTGAATCAACTTTCACAGAACAGGCTTCGCACAAATTGTTCTTCCAGAGATTGATTGGCTCTAGCATTTGGTTTCTCCCAGAATGGAGTCCTTCCTCGTAGACCTTGGCTGCAAGTCATGTGGCTGCCACTAGAGGGTAGGAGAGCACTAGGCAGCTCAATCCCTAGCTCAGAACTATTCACTTTTTTTTTTTTAATTTACTTTTTCAATTGAACTAACTTTATTCAAATATAAACACATTTCTTAAGCCTGTTTCTGTGTGCCAAGTCCTGTGCTAGGAGATGGGAAAGATATTGTCCCTGCCTCCAGTTCACAGTCAAGAAACAAATACCTCTACATAAGATAGACATCATTCATTCCTTCTTTCTTTCTCACTCATTAACTCATTGAGCAGATTGTTGAATGTTCCATGTTCCTCACACTGTTCTGGGCACTGGATGGTGATGTGTCCTTGAATACAACACTAATGGTGCCTTGGGGGTCCGGGGAGGAAGAGTTACAGCAGCAGAAGGGTGAGGACAGGATGTTAGTAGACTTGGCCTTGAGCATGTGGCAGGCATAGGGAGGGCATCTCCTGTGGTCTCAGCAACATGAGCTGAGTTAGGAAGTGAATCCGGGCAGGTAAGAGGTGAGTGAGGCAACAACGCATAAAGGGCTTTGATGCCAGCGGAGGCATTCGGACATGTCCACCTGTGACTGGGGGCATAGGAGGGGCTGAGGCGGGGGGCCAGAAAGTCCAGGTAAGGAGACTGACCGATGTCAAGGAGGGACATTTCTTTGGTAGAATAGGGCTACAGAAGCTGGTTGACTGAGCATGAAGGAGAGGCAGGAGTCTAGACCATTTATTGTGAGGCAAGGGGAGCAACTGGTTGAAGGTCACTAATCCCTGGTTGCCCCAGGAAGCTCCCATTGCCATTCTGATTCTCTTACACAACTCCATTCTCCTCTTTGAAAATCAAGGTCCCAGTGCATACTCCTAGATGGAGAGGACCTGAGTGCGTTGCCAACCTAACTCCATGTCATGCCCTGACCTGACCTCCACATTGTGAAACCAGAAATTGCGGGGGAAGGAGTGAACAAATTAATAATTACCTTCGTAGTGATTCATTTGATTTGATTCAGTGGCTTAAGGCACTGACCTTCCCCTAACAGGCTTTCATGTCTGCCAAGAACAGAAGAAGGAGTTAGAAACTACTGCTGAAAGAGACATAGACTTTGTCCAAGTTCAGGGGCAGAATGGGAAGTAAGGCATGTGCGGTAGAGTGTGCGTGACCTAACAGGAAGGGGATCAGATTCACTCTTGTCAGAATGCCCTGCTCCTGGCAAGGGCTCGGAGGCCCATGCCTGGCCAGCTCAAAACAGGGTTTGAAACCATTTCTCATGTCTTTTTCCCTGGCCCAGGAACTGCATTGGGAAGCATTTTGCCATGAACGAGCTGAAGGTGGCTGTAGCCTTGACCCTGCTTCGCTTTGAGCTGGCCGTGGATCCTCTCAGGGTCCCCATACCCCAAGCAGTAGTCGTGTTGAGTTCCAAGAATGGGATCCACCTGCAACTCAAGAAGCTCCTGTAGTCTTTGTCGGGATGAGGACAAGCTCTGAGGAACTCCTTCCTGCCACCCTGTCTTCCTGTTACCCGCTCCCATGCCCTGTCTACTTATCAGTTCTCGTTTTTCATCTGCCCACCTGCTATTCTATCTGACGTCTTCCCTCTGGTCCTTTGCCTGTCTGCCCCTCTCTCTGTCTTTTCACTTCTGCCTGCTTGTCATTCCCTGTATTAGTTTCCATTAGCTGCTATAATAATTTACCACAGCCTCAAGAGGACAGGCTTGGCTGAGACTTAAAACACCACAAACGTTTTCTCTTAGGGTTCTGGAGTCCAAAGTCTGAAATGGGTTTCGCTGAACCACAACCAAGGTTGGCAGGGCCACCCTACCTCCAGGGCTCTTGGAGAGAATCCCTGTCTTTGTCTTCCCAGCACCTAGAGCTAGCTGCATCATTATAGCCTTGGCTCCTGGAGCCTTCCTGCATTTCAAATCCAGCAGCATCTTCAAGCGTCTCTCTGCTTCTGCCTTCACATTGCGATCACATGGGCCTCTCAGATAAAACAGGACAGAGTCGCACCTTGCAGGGATCAGACTGTGGACATCTTGGAAGCCAATATTCAGCCTAATCGGCCCTGATGTGACTACTATGGGTCTGTGTTCCCGGCTCCCTTCTGTGTGTTTCCTGTCTACCATTTGTCATCCCCGCACTCTCTACTTTTTTTACCCCCAGAATAAAGTTCACAATGTCATATGAAGTGACTGTCTTCTCTTTGGTCTCCTTTGTCTTCCCTCTCCTGCCATATTGGGGGGGGGGGCGATGGTCCTCCTACCATGGGCTCTGTTCCCTTAATATTCCTCCACCAGCCTCTCTCAGCCAAGCCTGTCCTCTTGCTGGTTCTGAACATAGCTCTTCCTCTTGTCCCACCCACTGCCATTCCTAGCCCAGGGTCCTGGGTGCCACAGGCAGACCTCCCAGCACCCCTCTGACTGGGGCGGGATGCCTCCTCTTCCTCCCCGAAATGCTTCTCTGCCATCTGGCATCTGTAGCCAGGATCTCCCTCCCAGTCCCTGGCCTTCAAGAGCACTGGGCTAGTTCAGCTCTGCTCTGAAGGGGCTGGCTGGACACTTAGTGCTCGACGAGACATAGAGCAGGAACGTGAGCTGGGACTATCCCAGAAAGAAAATTTGGAGGTCCTCTGACATCAGGTGGCGCAGAAGGGCTTGGTGGCCATGCTCAGAGGGCACAGGACAATGGGAACTTGGAATTCTGGGTCAGCCACGCACACATGCTCTGACCACAGAATCCGCAGGGGTGAGGAGAGGGACCAAGAAATGACCCTGCTGGCTTCAGGCAAAGGAAAGAACCCAGGTTCAGTCCACGCTCACATGCACACCTACATGACAAACACAGACAGACACTCCTGTGCAGCCATACCCGTGTGTGCCCCTCGCACACCTCACCCTACCCCCACACACGTGCCCACAAGTACCTGGGATCAGAGGAGGCAGCAGGGTGTTTTAGAGAGCTAGAAGGATGAAGTGGAATTCATCTCTGGTGCTCTCGGACCCCCAGCCTCTGTCCTCCCTCCCACATGGCACCTCCTCTTTCCCTCTGGCTCCAGAACTCTCAGCTCTGTCTCTCACCAACACATGTCCCAGAGACAGAGTCAACACTACCCACGGAGCCTTGGTCAAAAGAACCCAGAAATGCAAGGCTCAGCTCCAACTCCTCCCTGATGAGCAGCTTGGCAGGTTCCTTCCCTTAATACTGAAGTGGGGGAATGACCTCCTCCAGTCCTGCCTCTCAGGCCTCCTGACAGTCCAAAGGTAAGAAAAGGAGACAAGTCTTGAACTTGGGCGCCACCCAGGGGCCAGGGTTGGTTATGACCACTAGGATCAACTACCAGGTGACAGGTACTGAAACCATCCTCACTTGTGCACAGAAAGGTCTGTCCAGGGCCAGGACAGAGAGGGATGTTGGTGACATGGTGAACACTCTGGCAAAGGTTTCTGCATCCCAGCTTTATGTGGGCAAGGAAGTCTAGGTCTTAACAGGACTTTGCAGGAGTGAGCAGGCACCCATAGCCAACCTTCCAGAGCAGTGGCCTTCTTCTGAGAAGCATCAATAGCAGGAAGGATGTGTCTCCAGATGGTCCACCCCCTGGGCAACATAGATACATCCCCACGTCCCAGGACTAGAATTCTCCTCTCTCGCCCCTTCCCCGGTGTCAGGTGCACCCCCTTCCACGCCTGTCTAATTCCAGGTTTAGAGCTCACTAACGGCCTCAGACCTTGAACTCTAGAGGTATATTTGGCAATCAGGCAGCTGCTGCAGCAACTACTGAGGAAGGACCTCTGATTCATCATGTGGCCCCAGCCTAGGGTTCTCCCCAAAAGTCCTTTGCACCTCATACTCCACCCCGCCTCAAGGCCTGATTCAAGCACCATTTCTTCCAGAAAGTTCCCTCTAATGCCATTCTGCCACCTTCCCCAGCCAAAACCCATACACCCAGACCACCGGGGGACTGTGACACAGATGTTGACAGTAGCAGGAGTGCCACAGAGACCTATGTCAGGAGGGCAGAAGACATGCCTGTGAACTCATGTTCCATACTCCTTGACCTCGGCATTGGTTACGTGGGTGTTTGATTTAGAAATTCATTGCTCTGTACATTTTTGCTTTAGGCAAATTTTCCAAACACACATACACAAAGTTAAACAAAGACACACATCTCGGTGAAGGGGCAAGCTCCAAAAAGCAACCCTCTATCACGTGGAGTGGGTGAGTGCCTGGTCATAGCCATGAACACGAAGGTACAGCTTCCACTGCAGTCACTGTACCACTCAGGCTGGAATGTAAGTTTCTGCTACATTTTAGAAAAATTGCCGATTATGGGAGAAAAAACAAGATTCCAGAAGCAAGTAGCTATTCATCACATGCTTGTTGAATGAATGAGTCAGCTCTAGAATACATGTCCAGAAAGCATTTATAGACACACATGCTTCCACGGCACAACCTCCAAGTGACTGTCTATGTGGGTCCTATTCCCCCTCTGTAATACAAGCCTCCCAATGACAGGGAGCCACAGCAGCTCCACAATCCAGCCGGGAGAGGGTGGTGCCCAAGGAGAGACCGCAGCCTGGGCTGTCTGGGGCCCTACTCTTAGCAGAGCTACTTCCCAGAGCGTGGGCCCAGTGGCTTCAGGTAGAGGTTGATGCCATTCTTGGAGCCCAGGACCAGCTGCAGCAACTTGATGGGTGGCCTCATGGGGTCCGGGGCAAACTCAAAGCGGTGCAAGCAGAGGGCCGTGACCACCTTCATCTCGTTCATGGCAAACTGCTGCCCGATGCAGTTCCTGCAGTGAGCAGCACAAAGAGGCATCAGGCTATGGGGTCCAGGGTGGTGAAATCCAGTGCTCTCAGTGGCCAGCAAAAATCAATAACTATTTTTGGATAAATAATTGGCTGCTAGATTGATGGACCTGGACTTAAGAAACAGAGCTTGGGAGGATGGTAGGGTCCCAGACTGAGATTCACATTGGCGGTTCTGGCTTAGTGGTCTCTTTTGGAATGACTTACCCACCCCACCACCTGCTAGGGACATGAATATGCTAATGACAAAAAGAAGGTCCCTGGAACTTACCCTACCTTAGAATCACCACTCAGCATAGTCCCCTCACAATAAACAGAGTTCCCTAAAGTGATGCCTCGCCTGTTACATCATCCACCCTCCTCTCCCCAGTCCTGAGGCCCTGGGCATGTTGGGTTTCTCCTTACCTGGGCCCAGCAGAGAAGGGCATGAAGGCAAAGGGGTGGCGTCCGGTCACATTCTCAGAGGAAAAGCGCAGGGGGTCAAAGACCTGAGGGGACAGGTCTTGTTTAAATACCTTCCAGGTCCAAGGGGTGACCCCACAACCTCCCGCCCCATCTGACCTTGGGGCACGGGAATGGGGTACCTCAGGGTTGGGCCACACTGCGCTGTTCCTATGGAGGGCATAGATGTGCAGAGAGACCAGGCTGCCTGCGGACAGAGCAGAGGGCAGGTGACCAGTTGGTCCTGGGACAGCCAGGCCCACCTCTTCACAGGGCCAGAATCCCCTCCTGTCTGCCTAACTAGGTACCAGTCCCTACCTCAGCTCTGCTAGTGACAGAAGGTTCATGACAACACTCAGCACATCAATGTGCTTTCGATCATCATCACACCTACTTCCTGTAGCCCCGGCACTGGGCACAGCACTCAACACAGACATTTCGTGCAATGGAACAAAAATGGACTGAGCCCACTCCACCACCAGACAGGACAGGCAAGAACTACTACGTACTTTCCGCTTTCAGTTAAGTGACTCTCGAGGCAAGTTATTCATAACAATATGTATCAGTAGTAACTGCTACCACGCGTGGGATGCACACCATGCTCCAGACACGGAGCTGAACACTCTCTACCAGCCCCCACATGCGGCTGCACAGGCTGGCACACACGGCATCATGGGCTACATGAACAGTGCCCCCCTGAAGTTGTTCACGACAACTTCATGCCCAGTGAGAGGTGACAGCCCTGATGATTTCATCCTAACCACAGCCCTGTAAGGCGGGTACTCTCCTTACCACCATTGGACAGAAGAGGAAAAAGAAGAGCCAGGATTTGACCCAGGCCAAACACAAAGCCTGAGTTGTGTGCCATTGGTGCCAAGGGTGAGCCGAAGGCACAGAGCGTCAAGAAGCATCCTCAAGGACGCCAGTTCCAGCCCCGAATCCACCGCAATCCCACCTTCAGGTAGAGAGCGGCCGTCCACAAAGTTGACAGGCTTGCTGAGCTGGCGGTACACCTGGGGCACAGGCGGGTAGAGGCGGAGGCTCTCCTTGATGCACAGGGTCAAGTAGGTCATCTTGCCCAGATCATCCCTGCCAGCAACACAAGCGGTCTTTTCTGGAGTTGGGGAGCAATGGGGTCCTGCGGAAAGGCAGGCTCCAGCCCCAACTTCCCCCTTCACCACCATCACAGGCCCAAGTGTCAGAGGAGCACCGGTGCTCCAAATGGTCAGGCCCGACTGGGCCTGGGGTGGCACTTAGACCCAGGAGTTCTGACTCCACTGTTCTCCATCCCTCCCTCATCTTCACTGCCAAGACCCTAGAAGTGTGTGTGCACCCAGCCATCAAAGACAACGTCCCTCCTGTGCCTCTCAGAGCCCCACTGAAGCCCCACAAGAGATAGTTCTATAGGTTCCGCTTGGTTTAACCCTATGGAGCTGGAATGGACAGGAACAGGGGCTAATATTCATTGGTTGGATGAATTAATAAATGCAGGAACAATGAGAAGATCAGGTAAGTGTATATATATATATTTCTCTTTTCCCTTCTGCCACTAGAAAGCTCAGACCCAAATCTGAGGTCCAAATATAACGACTGTGCAACACCTTATTACAGAACCCCTAGGTGTTCCCCCTCTTTTTCCCCAGTCCTCATTTTTCATTTGTGTTTTACTATTGTATTGAATAAGTATCCTTGAGTTGCTTCAAATTCTAGATAGAATGAAGAAAAAATAAAATAAATATTTCAACTCTGTGTCTCCAGGCTGTGTTCATGTTGTTACTCAACATAGAATGCCCAGCCCTGGCCGGTTTTGCTCAGCGGTTAGAGCATCAGCCTGCGGACCAGAGAGTCCCTGGTTCGGTTCCCGCTAAGGGCACGTACCTCGGTTGCAGTTTGTCCCCAGCTCGGGTTGGGGTCGTGTGGGTGGCAACCAATTGATGTGTCATTCACATGGATGTTTCTCTCTCTCTCTCTCTTCCTCCCTCTCTCGCTCCTGCTCTATGTGAAGATAAATGCAAAAATGTCCTCGGGTGAGGACAAAAACGCACACACACATCAACATAGAATGCCCAGTTCTCTCTCCCTCTGCCCGAGTTTCACCACTCCTTAGAAAGCCAATTTAAGCTCAATCCCCTCTGATTTCTCTGCCTGCAACATGGGGTCACTCATTCTTTGGTTTTCTCTAGCTTTTTAGTTATGTGACTTAATTTCTCTAAAAACATCCAAGGGCAGCAAAATGTATCCTTCTTCTCTTCTTCCTACCACACTCTCGACACCTAGCTGGACATCCTTGAAAAATTTCCAACATCTAGCCAATACAAATAAGTAATGGAGACTTCATCTTCCTAACCTTCGACCCTGGAATTATGTGTGTCTTCCTCAAATGAATGTAAACTTTCTCCCCTCAATTGAGCATGTTTGCACCCCTGCTGGATGCCTTGATGCACCTGGTCAAATAGGTCATCTAGCCTAGGTACTGCCAGGAGGGGAAAGGCAGAGAGAAGGCTGTGAGGGCAGAGGTGTGAGAGGGTCCCAGAGAACCTGCTGCAAAGAAAGGTCAGCATCAATGGTGTTGTGTTGATGAGTTCAACCTGAACCAAGAAACAGAACAATTCAACGTTTCTGAGCGATGGAGTTTGGAACAGTTTTTCCTCCTTTACCAGAGGAGTCTGGAGACTGCACGTGACCATCCAAAGACAGGCAGGAAGGGATCAGCTGCCTTGACTTTTCCAACGCTGTGTGTCCTCAGTTTCTACCTCTTTCTCCCCCAGCATTCATTCCCTGCTCTACCCAGGAACCCAGAAAAGTAGTCAGGTTCTACCATCAGAATCAACACACAAAAGGCTGGCCTCCCGTTGACAACCTTCTCTACTTTACTCATGTCTGAAAAGGCTCTGCTATTGGAGAATGGGCTCAGGGGTGCATGCACACACTAGAGATAACAGGACCGCTGCCGCTACCCTCACCTGGTTTCCAGGATGGCCCTGTGTCATCTGTGATGACACCAGACAGCATGGGCACAGCCCCTCCCTGGAGCTGAGCAGGACAGACTGGGCTCACTCACAGCCTCACTCACCACTGGATGGTGTCCCTGTCCCCGAGGATCTCACAGATCTCCTCCCGACAACGATGCTGGTGTTCTGGGTATTGGGCCATGCAGTAAAGAAACCAGGAGATGCCACTGGTGGTGGTGTCATGGCCTTCAAACATGAATGTGTCCACCTCGGCCCGGAGGTCTGTGTCTGACAGCTTGACCCCATCTTCATCCTGGGTGAGGGCAGACACAATGGAACAAGCCAAGGCATTTGAGGTAGGAACTAAGGACTACTCGTAACAGCAGCTGTCAAATGAAGGTCAGAGGGAGGTGATGAAAGCTGTGTTTCAGAAGGGAGGTTAGAACTTCCCCCAGATTTCTATCTTATCTCCCAAACTCAGCTTGGTTGGCTCCTACTCCGGGAAGCCTTCCCCGATATCTCTAACCAGTGACCTGTGACCTTACCCAGCCTGGACTGTTGATTCTGCTTATTTGACACATGGAATGCCACCTGACAGCGGAAGAGATTTCGTCAACATCCACCTCCTCTCTTCTCCACCAGACTGTAAGCATCTGGAGGGCAGTGCCAGATCGTTCTCATTCTCTGCATCCCTAGCACAGGAACTAACCCAGGGTAGGGCTCAGTGAGTTTATGGAGTGGGTGAATGAATGAATGAACGAAAGAAGTCTAAGATAATAAGATTCTAAGGTGCTAAGATTCTTCAGAGTCTTAGAAGTCTAGAATTGGTCTTCAGGCTTTCTGTCATGTTACCCAGGCTCCCTGCTACTACATTTCTCCCCATTGCCACAGCCAGCCACACCCTGCTCCTTCCCAGCTCTGAGCCTTTGCTGATGTGTGTCATGGGACAAGGAACAGGTCATATTCGCTGGAGAAAGAAGAGGAACATGCTTAACAGCCCCTGCAGCTGTCCACTGATCCCTGTCCCAGGACGATGGTCTAGTTCCCAGGAGGGAGGGGGCAACTGTGCACTCACCTGAGCCTGCAGGAGAATGTCCAGGAAATCCAGGTGCCTCTGCTTCTGGATCTTCTCCTGTTCCTTCTCGTCTTGCAAGGCTGCCTTCCGTTCCCTGATGACTTGGTCTGCACAAGGAGTACAGGGTGTCATGGCCTGGGAACCCACCCTTTGCCCACAGGGAAACAGAAGTCCTGCATGGGAAGCACCTCATAGGGGCACAGAGGAGCTAGATTAGAACCTAGACTTCCTGTGGGAGAGCCATGTGGGAGAGGCCCACCTGTGTGGTCGTGGGCCACCTTGCAGGCCCGCAGGAAGCGGCGGCCATGTGGGGTAAGCCAGTAGATGAAGTCATTATGGTACTGCATGGACTGCAGGCGCTGCTGCATCAGCATAGTGAGCTCCTTGACCGCCAGGTAGTAGCTGTTGTCCCTGCACAGCAGAGCGAGGGGACGGGGCGCTCAGACACTGACCTGCAGCGGAGCCCAGGCATCCAGCCCCAAATGCAGCGCTTCCCCTGCCTCTCCTTGCCATTAAGCTTTCCCACTAAAGCCAGAACCTATCTCCCCACCGTGGGGGAGGCCCACTCCCCCCAAGCAGGGGTACCCTAGGGCAAGACCCTGTTTCCTCTCAGACCAGGGTCCAGGAGTCCTGCCAACTCTCCCCTCTGGGCTGGCCTGGGTTGAGACTATGGTCAGCCCCAAGTGCCCTCTGACCTGTGGCCCAGGCCGCTGTGTCCTTTGCCAAAGGTGCACTTCATGAGTGTGTCCAGCGCCATGTGGCCCACATCACGGAAGACGTCAAAGCTCTTTTCCTCACGAGCCTTTTCCTCCCATTTGTCCTGGAACCCAGAGAGGGTAAGTAATGTGGGGGCCAGCAGGCTGCATGTCCGCCCCTTGCCTCCAGGACCCACAGCCTGTCCTCCCTGCCAGGCACCCAGGCCCTGTCCTGGCCTCCCTCCTGCTGGAATCTGGAGTGGGGCAGGCAGCTTCAGGGTCAGAGGGCAGGACCAGGGGGCAGGCCTTGCACAACAGCACAGACACTTTGTCCTGCCAGGGCAGCCGATAGATCAGAAAATCAAGGGCCAAGAGGTGGTGAGCTGCCCAGCAGATTCGGTGTGTAAGTCAGGACAGCAGTAATGCTGGAGGGGGGGTTTCCTACAAAGGGAAAGACTACCCTGGATGACCTCTGGGGAGTATCAAGCCCTGAGATGCTGAGCCTGGCCCCGACCCCTGGCATTCTTTTCAGGGATGAGTTGCCAATGGCATTGTTTTAGGCAGTTGTGGTAGAAAGAGAATGAGGAGGAGACCATTTTTAGACATGAATGGATGTCCTCCTATTCCAAAATATAGGCACCCCTCAAATCTGCTACAGTAGGAGCCTCACTGGGTTCCACAGGGGCCCTTTGGTCTGTGAGGGACGGCTGGGTCTCCTGGTGGAGACAAGGGCCAGAGGCGCCTGGCCACTGGAGCGCCACACCTCGTCAGCACCAAGCACACAGCAGGTGTCAGGCACAGCAAGGCATGGCACTGCTGTGGGCAGGAAGGACCTCGGGGCCTCTGCGATTCTCCTCACTGCCCTCCCCCAGGAAAAATGGGGGGGGGCCGGCAGGCACAGCATCCCAGAGCTCGGCACATGAAGCTCACCAGCATGTGGCGCGTGGAGTCAGCAAACACGGTCACGTAGGGCTTTAGCACTTCATAATGGAAGCCAGGTGTGAGCATCTTGCGGTGCTGGAACCACTTGGGCCCGTGGAGGACCAGCAGGCCTTTCCCTGAGGAACGGATGGGAGAGGGAGGGCTAGTCAGTGCACACTCTCCAGCCCAATCTCTGGCAACTTGGGGCCAAGCAGGACCCCTCCCTAGTCCTCCCCATCCAGCCTCTCCTCCCAACTCAGCTCTGCCTTCCAGCCACCAGGCCTCTGGTGACTCCAGCCTTGGGCCCACCACCATAGCTTTCCTCAAGCCCTTCCCTGGCCAGCACTACCTGTAACATCTCCTAGGATCATCTCTAGTGCTGCCTCCTCCAGGAGGCTGTCCCTCACACGCAGATTTTCCAGATCTCTTGCCCTGCTTGTCCAGGGCTGGCAGACACACCCAACAGGAGAAGGTACCTGGGCCCAGGAGCTCTCCTGCCTCCTTCCCTGTCTCCTCACTGAGCAGGTGAGCTTAGGAATGGCACATGGAACCAGGTGGTCCAGTGGATGGATAACTGATTGAGTTGGGACAAGGCAGGAAGGATCCTGGTCACCGGCACCAAGAGCAGGGAAGGTGATCACTCACCAATCCATTCGAGGAAATAGTCATACATGTCTGGGGCCTTAGGGTCTGTAGGAGACAGAGAAGGTTGGGTTAAACCAGAACTGGGGGATTCCCAAAGGAGGCTTCTTGATAAGTAGGGTGTCAACCTCAGCTTCCCGGACTTAGGGTGCAAGCCCAATACTCCTTCCCACATGGTGCCCTGAGCCCTTTGCTCTCGGGAGGCCCCGCCCTCTCCCGAGATTGCTCACCACCTCGGCTGAACACAGCTTTGGCATAGTCAGGCTCATAGATGTTCAGGCAGCCAAGGAACCCTCCGAACCAGAGCTGGTGGGCATAGGGGAACTGGTGGGCCCAGGACACCACCTTGTCCAGGCTTTCTGTCTGATTCATCTATAATGGTGACAGAAAGCCAGACCACTCAGGAACCCGACATGACCAGCCCCTCCCGAGCCTGCCCTGGCAGACCCTGGGAGTATCCCTCCCTCCTCCTACACCACCCCAAGCCTGTCACCCAGTCCTATCCATCTCCGGGCTCAGTTCCTCTCCAGCCACAGAGCCACTGCTTTAAGTCCAAGCCAGCTTCTTATTGCACCTGGGTTAGCTCAGCAACTCCAAACCGGCCAACCTGCGTCCATCCGGTGCTTGCCACCAACCCTCTACACACTGTAGCCAGAAGGATATTACTTTTCAGCATTCAAGGTTTTCATTAGAAAGATCATACCATCTTGTTATGCAAAAAAGAAACCACCTCGATTCCAGACCTGTTAAGACATTTGACACATTTTTATTGAGGACCGACTATGTGCAGAGCCTTTTCTAGATGTCTCAAGGGAATAAGACAGACCCGGACTTGCCCTTTCATTCTATGGGGAAGACAGACAAGAAACACGTAATTCAGTAAAATGGTTCAGACTATAGTAAGTGCTAAGAAGGATGTAAACACTGCTGCACGAGAGACTAACAGGGAAGACCTGCTTGGATAAGAGTGATCCAGACGACATTTAAGGTGCAACCTGCAGGATGATAAGGAGCTGGCCATGTGAGGAGTGAGGGAAGAGCATTCCAGTTCCAGGGAACAAGCGCAGAGGCTCTGGGGCGGGAAAGGGTGTGGTGTCTTCCAGGAGCTGCCCCACAGTGGGACAGTGGCTTGAGAGGAGGAGGGAGAAATCACCAGAGGGTGGTGTGTGCTCTCTGGGAGCTTTCCTAACCACATCCAATCACCCAGAGTCGTTTATGTAAAAATAGAGTATACAATAAATACTTGTCCAAACCTGCCTTTTTTCATTTAACATACCTTGTTCTTCTTTTTAAACTAGTATAATGATCTGTCCCTCAGTATTTTTACAATTACATAGTATTCCACCATAGGGATGTGCCATTATGTACTTATCCATTTTTCCTATTTGGAGAGGGTCTTTCAGACCCTTCAGTGGGGCCCACTGGGTCTCAGAATGAGGTCTGAGCTCGGTCGCTTGTGAGGAGGTGCAGCCAATCTTCATCAAGCACTTGCTGTGTGTCAGGCCTTCTGAGCACCTTGTATCCTGACCTCATAACAACAACCTCAGTCCTTATAACAACTCTATGACGCCCCATTTTAGGGAAGGGAAGCCTAGATATAGAGATCTGAGGTTGCTCTCCAAGGACCACGCAGCTCGTAAGGGCGGGGCAATGTGACCCAGGAAAGTCGACTCCGTGGCTGCCAATCCTCGGAGCTTGACAGACCTGGGTTTGAATATGGATTTCCCCTATTTTTTACATGTGTGAACTTGGGCAAGTTTTTTAGGCTCTCTGAATCTCCCTCTCCTCAGCTGTAAAATGGGGGTGACAATACTTAACTTATAGGATTGCTTCGACATTAGTGACATCATGCATGGCGTGTGTGTTATTGGTTGAGGTTGTGTGACACTCAAGCCCCTTAACTGATAAAATGCATGAAAGGATCCAGAGCTGGATCCTGCACAAGGTGAGCCCTGGACAAGTAGTTCCCTCCCCTTCACGCCCTTCTTTCCCCAGCATCTTCCGCCAAGTCTCCCCCTGCATCTCCTGACACATCCTACTCCCAGATGCCCACAATGACACTGAAAATGTGCTCTGAACATGGTCTCACATACTTTCCCCTATGGGTAAAGGACTAACCAAACCTGTCCCCTGTCACATAAGAAGCTGACCTTAGCTTATACTCTCCAACTCTGTTCCCCTGGACACTTGAAACCTGCAAGATGTCAACTGTGTTGCTAGGCAACATGGCTATGGCAGAAATAAACTTTGGTTGGTAAATAACATCGGGACTGGGAAGAACCATGAATGAGCTACAACATTCTGATGGGGACACATGCGTTGGGCTTTCCTGGGTGTGAGTGCTTGGCCCTTGCAGGAACCCTGGGACAGTCAGTGAACACTGGGAGTCCATGGGGCTTGGGGATTCTAAGACTAGGTGGACCCACACCACCCAATGTGGATCTCATTTCCTTGCCCCTGGCCAGCCCTTTGGGAGCAGATGGATTGCTGATGGCTGATGTGGATGCTATAAGGGATGCCTGACATTCTATAAAGTGAGTGTCGAATGAATGAAGTAAATAAAGGAGACAAAGAAGGAAAACAGGAAAGGAGGGGAGAGAGCATACAAAGCATCTGGCTGATGTGAACACTGGCCAGAGACAGTCAGTCTCCTAAGAACCAGCCCAAAGTCTTGCTCAATTTGGGGAGTCAGTGTGGTAAACAGCATTGCTGACTTTTATTTTTGTCCCTGCAGGCCCTGAACTTCCTGTTCTGGATAATGTTGAAATTTGATGCTCATTTATGCATTCTATCTCTAGACATTGAAAAATGGAAGGGAACAGATATGTATTGAGTATCTCCTATGTTTCAGGTATTATGTGAGTGAATTTATAGATTGCCTCATGCAGAATGGGTAATTGCTCCCATTTTACAGATGAGAAAACTGAAGCACACACATATGACCTGACTTGCCCATTGCTTATAGGTTAGTACTGCTCTAACTCAGGTGAGAGCCCCACGTTCCCTTCTGCACATTGAAGTCCGTCAGGGCTGCTGCGTTCAGTTGTATAAACTGTGCACTGTGCAGTCCTAAGGTGTGCCAGTCATGTTGAGGTCTGTGCAAGTGCTGTCCCTGTTTTTCCTTCCTGCGAAGTTCCCTTTCATAGTCCTCACCCACTCAACTGATCCATGTGTCCTCCAGGAAACAGCCTTGGAGAAGGACATTGATCATCTGATAAGGTCTAACCAGAGCCACTTTCCCTGGACTGGGCGTGGCTACTTTGGTCTCCAGCCACCATCTTTTGTCTTATCTGGGGATCTTCTTTCAGGCCTCTGCAGAGTCCAGTGTAATCTCCTAACCCCAACACATAGGTCAGGTTTGTGGGTCCTCCCAGGAGCCCTAACCTCAGGCCAATAATATGGCTGAGCACCCGTTACATGCAAAGTCCTCCCTGGACCCCAGAGTGGAATGAGCAGGACCCTAGAAGAATAAGACATAACCCCGCCTCAAGGGGACACATTCTAAGAATAGAGGATGACGGGTGGATGCTTCCAGGCCCCAGACTATAACTGAAGAACAAGAAGGGAGACGTTAATTCTGACAAGCAGCTCCCCCTGCTCCAGGCCCTTCTGTCCACCACCAGTTCTCCTCTCCTGCTCCCACCATCACTAGGCCTAGCACTCAAACTTGCAGTCTCCTCATAACCTGATTATGTCCTGAATGAAAAGGTGGGAATCCTGGGTCCAGCCTTGACTCAAATTCTGAACTACTACATAGTATAGGCAAATTCTTTGCCCTCTCTGCACCTCAATTTTCTAGTCTTTTTTTTTTTTTTTTTACCTAGTCCAACTTTTTTATTTCATGGCTGCTATTAGCTCTGACTAGAAGGCAGTAGGTTTTTTTCTCAGAGACAGGGCCATGGAGGCATCTATCTCCTGGGAGGGACCGGGAGGGACCGGGAGGGACCCTCCCCTCTCCACTTCTCAAGCTCAGGTGTGACTCCAACCAGAGCAGAGGTGCCAAGCCCCAAGGGGATGCAGAGAAGTTGGCACCTCTGCTCTGGTTCTCCAGAAACCTTAGTAATCCCAGAGAGCAACCACTCTCACACACCACACCCTCACCGCCTTCCTGGTGCCAAGATCCTTCACATACTTGTGTTAGAGCCAAGAAGCCAGAGCTAAGCCATGTTCAGGGCCTTCTACACACTTTCTAGGTGGGTCCTGGGGGGATCTGGGGAGAAGAGACAGCCAGCTCTGACATGGGGGCAGGGGAGCAAGGTCCCTGTCCTAGAAAACCCAGCTTCGATGGAGGTAAGGGTCAGACCTCAACCTTCTCATGACCTCCTTCTGTACTTAGCAAAGCCTCTACCAACTCCCTCCTGGTTCCTCCACTTGTCTTGTCTGTCACTCTCCCTCTTCTAGTGATTCCTCCCCGTCCTCTCCAACATTCACTTTGTTCATTCAGGGATGCCTACTCTGAGCCAGGCTTCGTGCTAGACCCCGAGGGTACAGAGATGAATCAGGCCAGATAGCCATCCTCTGGGGTCATGGTCTAGTGGGGAAGATAAACAAATACAGTGATACCTCGGTTCTCGAACGCCTCGGTTTTCGACCAAATGGAGATTCGAGAAACTTTTGTCTCGGAATCCGAACAAATATTTGGAACTCGAACTTCCGAGATGAGCCGAGTTGAGCCAAATGGCGTTCATTCGGCCCAGCGCGCCTTGCTTGCGTCATCAGTGTGAGTGCAGAGAGAGAGTCACGCTTTGTGGAGTCACGCTTTCCTATTGGTTTCATTGCTTCGGTTCTCGAACAATTCGGTTCTCAACCGTCCTCCTGGAACGAATTATGTTCGAGAACCGAGGTATCACTGTAAACAGAAGATGCCAACCCAATGGGACAAGTGCTGAGATACAGAGCGCGGGGCAGATGCACATTCCTGGTTAGGACCCCACCTGGCCTGCAGCAGGGGAGGCTCTGGTATCAGTTTTTCCCTCTAGAGAGTAAGCTTCTTGAGAGCAGGGCCTGGGTCTGATTTCCCTTCCCAATGCATCCTTTCCTTTCCTAGGTGTCTCCAAGATGCATGTAGGTTACTAGACCATTCTGAAAGAGGAGTTATTTGTAGGGGCAAAAAAAAGCCTGGACAATCCTCACCTAAAGGTCAAGTTCATTCCCAGCATCAACCATGGACAAAAGTCAATTCCCCAGACCAAGCATGAAGGAAGGTACTCAGGAGGTAGAAGAAGTAATTATGCCTCTCCCTGAGCCTTAATCTCTGGCATCTATACCTGGGCTCCCAACCCTAGCTGCAGAGAGAAACACTCGTGGAGGTTTTTAAGTTCAGGCTCCTGTTTGCAATATGCTCATTGGGATCCCCAGGGGCTGAGGGCCAAGAAATCTACCTCTCCCAGTTGATTCCAATGTAGGTGTTCCTTACCCTGTGTCTAGAAACCTCTAGTCTAGATCCCCATGAAGGTAAGGAGCTAAGAGGTGTTCCCAGCAATGAGGATTAAGGTGATCTCCCCACCCTGAGGTACCTGAGGAGTACAAATCATGATCTGAACCCAGGAAGATGCCACAGCTCCTGAGACAGCCTATAGGTGTGGCCAGGAGAACCCCCTTTTTGGGGGGCACCCACGGTGTAGATGTCCTGGGAAATCTCTCAGGTGACTGCACTCATCTCTGCCTTCACTTTAATTTTCTGCCTTAAAAACTGAAATGTTTACATTGCACAGAACAAAGAGGACACTGGTTAAACTTTAAACAAGATTGCATCATTTTTTCAGACCATCCAGGGGTTTGTTGTTTGTTTTTGGTACGTGCCCCTAGTAGGAACAGAACCCAGGACTCTCTGGTCTGCAGGCCGACGCTCCAACCGCTGAGCCAAATATAGCATGCTTGCAGCCTGGTGGAGGCAGGCTATTGCAAGAGAGAAAAGGAGCAGAGAAGAAGTGTCCAGCTCCTTTCCTCTCCCACCTTCCAGTCACCTAGTGGTATCTCCTAACAGCCAAATCCAACCAGAAGTAAGATGGCAAAGTCTTGGCCAGGGCCCATTCAGGGTTTTTAACCCGATGCTATCACCAAGCCCTTGGCAGACCTCTTGTCTGAACCTCGAGCTGCAGAATCACGGGCCTGAACTTTAAAGTGCCCCTGCCCAGGCCAGCTCAGAAGGCAGAATCGAGAAGGAGATCTGGTGAGAAGGCTGAATGGGAACCATGGCTCCCAGGATATCAATTCCCTACCCACGCAGGGTCTCCCTCCATGGCCCCTAACAGATTGGGCTGTATTCTTTGAAAAAAAAGAAGCTGTTTTCTTTCTCCGTTCCTCCCTCCTCATACTCTCCATTTACCTCGAAAGCATGCCCATAGAGCCAGTGGGAGGGGGGCGCTGGGAAGCTCTCCATAGCCTTGATCATCAACCGCCTCCTCATCAGCAGATGAATGAGCTTGACGAAGCCTAAGACCAAGATCAGTCCAGATGTCCACAGGCCCAGGCGGGAAAGGCTCAGGGAAAGCAAAACAGACATCATGGCTGGAGTTGCAGTCGGCCGGGCTCCTCCTGCTGCTCTTCAGTTCCTTATACTGCAGACTCAGGCACCTTGCCAGTTCCTGCCCACAGCCCTCCCCAAAGCAGCCCAGAGTAGGCGGAGCATCATACGGCAGAAACAACAGCGCCAAAAATCACCGACAACAGAAGAAACAGCCTGGGCGACTAGTCTCCAAAGGGCTAGAGAGAAAGCAGGTGGTGGGCTTCAGAGAAATCAGACAATGGGTATCCTGCCTTGGTTCCTTGGAGGAGCAAACGGAAGGCAATTCTTTGTATAATCATTGGCACGATGACTGCCTTTTCATACATATAAGCACATTATTGTTTCAGGTGCTTTTTTTAAATCCTCACCTACGCATATTTTTCCATTCATCTTCAGATAGAGTGGGAGGGAGAGAGAGAAACAACAATGCGAGAGAGACACATCCACTGGTTGGCTCCCGCACGACCCTGACCAGGGCCAGGGACCGAACGGCAACTGAGGTACATGCTCTTGACTGGAATCGAAGGCTGACGCTCTAACCACTGAGCCAAACCGGCCAGGGAGTTTCAGGCACTTTCTACACACTATCTCATTTAACCCAAACAAGGAGGTCCCAGGTACTCACTCTTTATACCCATTTTCTAGATAATAAAACTGAGGCTCAGCTTGCCCGTGATTTTCACTGTCCCTTTCAATATGGACCACTGGCAGGGCTTGCGTTTATGCCAGGCTTGTGATGCTTTGAGTCCCTTCTTGTGAGGCACTTTCAGGGACAAGGTTCTAGCCCCAGAAGGGAGAGCCTGGGTCAGAAAAGGGCCAACTTCATCCCAAGACCATAGTACAAACTTGACACTAAAGAACATAGAATATTACTTCCAGGGTGCCTAGGAAGATCATCAAATTCAATCCCTCCTGGATTGATAGAGGGAGCCACTTGGGCCCAAAGAGGGACAGGGAATTGTCCAAAGCCTCTCAGCAAGGCAGTTGTAGCACTCAACTGCCCAGCCCAGAGTTCTAATAAAGAATAAGTTTGGCCACCCTGGCCGGTTTGGCTCAGCAGTTAGAGCGTTGGCCCGTGGACCAGAGAGTCCTGGGTTCGGTTCCTGCTAAGGGCACATACCTCCATTGCAGTTTGTCCCCAGCACCAGTTGGGGTCATGTGGGTGGCGATCAGTCGATGTGTCTCTCTCACATCAATCTTTCTCTCTCTCTCTTCCTCCCTTTCTCCCTCCCGCTCTATTTGAATATAATGAAAAAAAAAAAGTTCTCGGGCGAGGATAAAAAAAAAAAAGAAGAAGTTTGGCCAGCTTTGCCTGGGGGAGTCTGCTATTTCTCCCTCTAATCCCTGGTCCCACAGTCAGGTCCCAAAGGACAATTCACTGCCTATATTTCAGATGAAAAGACATGAATGCAGGGCTCCTTTCAGAGGAATAGGCAAAGTTAAGGAATAAAACGAGGTATGGTGTGGCTTCCAACAGCGGGAAACCCACTGACATCCTTAAGCTGAAGGAACAAGGGGAAAATATAGCATGCTGGCAGCCTGATGGAGGCAGCTATTGCAAGAGAGAAAAGGAGCAGAGAAGAAATGTCCAGCCCCTTTCCTCTCCCACCTTCCAGTCACCTAGTGGTATCTCCTAACAGCCAAATCCAACCAGAAGTAAGATGGCAAGGGAGGCCGTGGGAGCTAACATGCAGAAATCAGCCTCCCCTCGGGGCAGAGAAGAGCAAAGTCTGGGCCTGGCATGGAGGCAGCATGGGGCAAACCAGCAAACAGGTTTGGACCTGGAACTCTGATTGAACTCCTATCTCAGGTGCTGACTCAGAGAATGGTAAAATGCTAACATGACTTCCAACTCTTCCCCTGAGGAGATACCTTATCTCGTCCTACCCATAGGCAGAGAACGGTGGTACAATAAAAGGAACTCCAAGAGAGCTCCTGAAATTTCACATTTGTACTTCATATCATTAGATCAGGACATGGAGTGCTCCATGGAAATTATCCAGGTCAGAATGTAAGGGTACATGAAGAGTTATCAGCCAACTTATGTAGTTTATTTTTATTTTTATTTGTTTTATCCTCACCCAAGGACATTTTTCCATTTTTTGCACAGATAGAGTGGGAGGGAGAGGAAGAGAGAGAGAGAGAGAAACATCGACGTGAAAGGGACACATCGAGTGGCTGCCACCCGCACTACCAACCAGGGCCGGGGACAAACTGCAACCGAGGTACATGCCCCCAGCGGGAACTGAACCCGGGTCTCTCCGGACCACAGGCCGATGCTCTAACCGTTGAGCCAAACCAGCCAGGGTGAACTTATGTAGTTTACAGTGAATTTGTTTATCGGTGCGTTCTCAGCCTGATGGTATAATGGAGTGTTTGGGGAGATCCTGGAGGAGCTCCCACCTGATGAAGGAACCATGGCTCTTGGCAAGAACCATTCAGGATGCTCCAGGGCTAGCCTAGAAGATGGTAAGTGGATGTAGGGATATTGATTGACTCTCAGTATCCATTCCCTGCTTCCCTCTTTTCAACCACTACCGTGGATTTACTGGCTTTGAGGTACAGTGGGATTGACCTCACCCCCCACTCCAGCATGGGCCCATATTTATTTAAGATAATCCGCATTCACATTGCCCGTTTCAAGGATAAGCACATGACCAAAGTCAGTCGATCAGGACTAATGAAAGTCGATTTTGGTATAGTTTAAGGCATTAGGAAAGTTGAGAACCCTTTAATACAGTTCCTCATGTTGTGGTGACGCCCAACCATAATATTATTTTCGTTGCTACTTCATAACTGTAATTTTGCTACTGTTACGTCTTAGGCGACCCCTTTGAAAGGGTCCTTCGACCCCCACAGGGGTCATGACGCACAGGTTGAGAATCGCTGCATAAACAGACTCTAATGCTGGATTTGAGTCTGGAAGCACGTGTTAGGAGGAGAATCAATGTGGGGAGAGCCTGGCAAGAAGGTACTCAATGCCAAAGGAACTGAACTGAGAAATACAGAGAGAAACTGAGCACTAGTCACGTTGTTCGAACTCCTGAGTCAAGCTTCACCTGGAGCTAGGAGGGCCTTTGGAGCTTTTCATCATGTGAGCCAATAAATCCATGTTTCTACTTACATTCCATTTGAGTGGGTTTTTGTTACTTGAAGGCAAAGGTTTCCTAAGTGGTATCCTGGGGAAAGCCCAGGAAAGTGGGAAAAGCTTGGCTAAGTTGGGCCGAAACAGACTTACGGGGCTAGCCTGTGACAAACCGGGTGGAACTGACAGCCGAAGGGACAATGGGATGAACCTGGTATATGTGGAGCAGGGGAGCTTACCTGGGAAGTACTGAGAGGACTCAGAGGGGAATTCTAAGTGAGATTAGCCGGAGCAAACCTCCCATAAGAGAGAGCAAGAAATAATCTGATTACGGTGAAAGTGCAGGGCACGGCTTGGAGGAAAAGCAACTACCTAAAGTATGAGGTATAAAGCAGAAGCACAAGGGGAGGAGCGTGTTGGGAAACTGGAATGCCAAAGGCAGTTAACATGAGCCTCTAACAGAGGAGTAAGGAGGTTGGACATCTCTGTGCTTCAGGGAGCACAGAGAGGTCCTGACAGAGGGACAAGGGTGTCAGTGATGTGCTCTAGGATGATCTCCCCCTCTGTATGTGTGCAATGGCCCTGAGCTAGCCTAGTGTGCAAGGGTCCTAGAGCCTCAGTTGGCAATCAGAAAAAGGAAGTCAGAGCTCAGCTGGTGTGGCTCAGTGGTAGAGCATCACCCGATGGACCAAAAGGTCGCCAGTTTGATTACCAGTCAGGGCACACACCCTGGTTGTGGGCTCGATCCCCAGTGGGGGGCATGCAGGAGGCAGGCAATTGATGTGTGTGTCTCTCTCATTGATGTTTCCACCTCTCTCTCTCTCCCTCTCCCTTTCTCTCTCTCTAAAAAAAAAAAACAAGGAAGTCAGAGGGAGAACCAATAGGGTAGATGTTGATTATGGTGTTAGAGGTCCTACATACCTTCTCCTGCCAGCAACTTGCCCCAGCACTCACAGTCTATTTGTCACAAATCCTGCTCTCTACTTACTGGCTGAAATCTGACAGCCATTAAATCTGGAGCCAAAAACAGGTCATCATGTGTCCAGAATCAAAGACTGGTGGTAGCCAACTTTCAAGCCAACTGTGGCTACCTTAGCAGTGTGGTTTTGGGAAGCCAGAATGAACCGCCCACCCACCAGTCTTAGTTCTGCCCAATAGAAAATGTTAACTGTAAAGAAAAGCTTGGAAATGTCCCTCGATCCAGTAGGGAGACAATGAGACTTGGCCTTCATCCAAATGCTTTCCATAGCTCTTCTCCTCCAGAAAGAACCAGTATTCTAACTCTGCCAACTTATTCTCAGATCTGTTTACTTTTTCCCAAGCAGCAGTTATCTGAGTGCTTGTCTGACCCCCCAGTCTCCCCATTCTGTTTCAGGTGAGAGACTGAGCTTGCTGTCCCCTCACTTTGCACGGTTGAGCTGAGACAGACAAGACACGAGTATGCAGTGAACCCGTGATCAGGTACATAAATGAAAGAATAGACCACCTTGAGGGGTCTGCAGGTGCTGAGCTCTGCGTGAGCTAAGAGAATGCTGGCAATGTGCACCTACCACACTGTCCTGCTCTTACCCAGAGCTCTGTAAACCTTCAGAGGAGGCTCCACGTTCAGGTCCTTTCTACTTCCCTAGCACACAATACACAGTAGGCACTTAATAAATAATTGTTTTGTTGTAGACCAACAAGACAGACCAGACTCAGACTCCGAACTGGGTTCAAATTAAGAGAGCTTTATTAGCCGCGCGGCGACTGTCCCATCCTACACAGAGGAGAGAGCAGCCCCACGCTCAGGGGGTGGGTTGCTTATGTAGCCCCTGTTAAGGAATTCGGGCTAAAGTTTTGCAAGCAAGCAAGCACGTACAGAAGCAGATATCTGTGGTTAGCCATTATGCATGAAGGAGCAAGCTGTTTTGGTTTGCACAATGCA